TAATGGGCATGAAAGCTGCTGGAATAATTAATACCGGCAATTGGATGGAAGATCAACTGGTAAATTGTTTACGAGAAATAAGGGTCCTAAAGGAATTAGTATATTATAACTGAAAATGTTATACCCCTCCCCTATACTTAACATCCAAAGCCGTTGAGAGTAATTGTGACATTAAAATGTGAATATTGCTACGAAATATTTGTAACGTAATCTATCAATATAAACATATTTTCCAATAATAAATCTTTGGCTTAAAAGCGCATTAGCTACACAGATAATTAGTCATAAAATAATTAATGCTTAACAATTACTAATTTAGCAAATAGATGGGACTTTCGTATTATTGTGAAATGGTTTTGTTTGTAGGGGAAAAATTTTAGGCTCTAAGAACGAGAAAATGATTTTTCTCTTAATAATTTTGCATTATGAACACGCTACGATTAAATTACGATAAATCTTTAATTTCGCGATACCCCGTAATTGTGGTACATGACACTTGGGGTCCTTTATTATTACGCGCAGGAAGAAAATTTTCTATAATCCGAAATGGGCTTTTTGTTCTATGAATCGAGTCCTTTCGAAACCCTTTCGTGCTGAACTTGTCCACGGCTCTTGCGCGATTATTCTATTCCGTGGCATTTCCACGTTCTGTGAAATCTCGAAAGCTGCATTCGAAAAGGGACGGGAAAACAAATTGTATGGAAAGATGAAACAGTCTTAATGGACTCTTAGAAAGGCAGCAGAGTTACGCGGAAGAAGGAAAGGTGGGTTAAGTAAAACGCTGTTGGAGCGTCGGACGATGGTGCTGGTGAGTGCGCCTCATAGAACTCTCTCTCTCTCTCTCTCTCTCTCTCTCTCTCTCTCTCTCTCCCCCCTCTCTCTCTTTCTCTGTTGTGCAAAATATTATTCAAAGCAATGGTGAAAGGACGACGGAGCGTGCAAGAGGTAACAACGAATCGGGCGAAAGGAATAAGGGTGAGACGTAGAGGTAGCAAGAATATATCCGCGCGGCCACCGTTTCCACCCCTGTTACGACCCTCGCCACGCTAGGCAGGCGGGAGTTGTCTATCCCGTCGCTAACTTCATTTAAGTTTTGATCCTTTTACAGGGTACTCCATGCTAACTTTCCATATCGAGCATTGAAGGAGACACTTTAAAATCTCGAATGGAAAGGACTATTGAACCCAAGGTAAGGCGTGGCCGCTACATTGCCGATTGCGGTGTTTTCTGGACAGAGATTGTTAGAGGGGAGAGAAAAATAAAAAGTAAAAGAAAAGAGAAACAGAGAGAAATACCGAGAGGGAGAAACAGAGATGCACTGCGTTCGAACGAAAGGGAGTGAAAGATTATGCGATAAAGGGGCCGAAGAAGTGGGTGGTAGCGCTCTGTTCGCGACCTACAAGCAGGGAAGAAACATGTTATTGCATTGAGTCACTGGAAACGAGGCGCAGTTCACCAGATTAAACATCGCGCTAAAATGCAGATACAAATTCCCCACCGAGAACTGTGACCTCATTCTTCTTTTTCATTCTTCCGCATCCGCGTCCGTCGCGTTGTCTCGTCCTTCCCTCGCCGGCAGTTATTCTTTTGCCGCTCTTCTCCCCTTCCTTTTCTTTCTTCGTCATTCGACCTTCTCCTTCGTCTCCTTCCGTTCTCTTTGTTATCTGCTAGTCCAATGCTTATTTGTACTTTACCATTAACCGTCGTGAGTCGTGTGCTCTGCCATTCCCCGTCGTTAAATCCCTTGCAAAACAGTAGCTTCAGCCCTTTTATCTTGCCAGACAGCCACGCGTTTCTTCTTCGTCATTGTTACGCATCATCCGGGATACTGAACGTCACTACATTTTATCTGTGGCGGGACCACGCGAAGTATGGCTGACTGCATTAAGCGCTTTCACCAGCACTTGCATCTGATTGGCAAGCCTTTTGTTATTGCTTTAAAACCATAAAGGCATTGTATTGTACTTGCAAAGACAATTTGAAAAAATCCGCGTTTATTCTAAAGCAATCGTAGAATTTTAGATTTAATCGTGCCACCATAATTATATCCTTTTATGTAATAATATACATGTAATTTAGACACAAATAAACAACGAAAAACGGAATTTAAAGATGGAATAAAAAGTTGACTTTGTTGAAACAATCTATCATCTTATCTGTGTGAAAAGTAAGGATTGATTTTACGATAAAGAATAAGTTTAATATATCTTGTATCAGATTTAATATTAATTACTACTAATTAATATTAACGCTACTACATATAACTGGGTTTTTATATTAATAAATAATTACCTTGTGATTATGCGTACCATGTGATTATGGTTGAAAATATTCTTCTCGAGATATATCAATTTTGCTTTATGACAGCTTATTACAATACACTTGGGGCGCTTTCTGAGGATTCCGCTATAAAATAACGGAAGCCTAAGATGGGACAGTGTATCTTGTACGATACGTCGAACAGGCTTTAGAACTTGGTTGCAGTTCGCACGAAGTTGCGGGCTGCGCGTTATCGGATACATCACATATCGAAGGTTCCAACGTTACTGATATCGATTAAGCCATTGTTCTAAAGATCCTGAGAAGCTTCTAGGACGTGCTCAAGGCGTTGGAAGTGGAGAGTTAGAGAGGAAGGGAGAAGGGAAGAGAAACGAGACGAATTTTCGTCCATAAAAGAAGGAAATCTCTTATCGTTTTTCGTGTCCACGGCGTACACACAGAGATGTGCATGTACACGCCTTCGGGGATCCTTTTGTGCCCGCGCTACATTATAGGAACTGGTGCATTAGACAGAGTAATACGGCTGGAGGAATTCCAATTGCAGCACGGCCACGTCGTTCGGTTTAACGATTTCGTCGGACTTGAGAGAATACGGAGTGCCGTACAGAGAAGAGGAGTGGGCTTGTGTATGGACTGCTCCGTTGACATGTTTAAAGACCGTCATACATCTCACGACTACAGAGAATTGTACGTTGCCTTGGGCCACGTGCAAATGTATCAATATTCATCCCGACGATTTGACTGCCGTAAAATACTACGGTAGGACGCGACGGAGAATTGTAATGTGGTGTGGAAGCACATGATCGTTATCACCATATGAGTATAATATACCGCTCGTATTGAGTGTATTCTCACGTTGCAATTTCTATTATCCGAGTTTAAACGTGAATTAGAGGATATATTGTATGTTACGTTAAAAAGAGATAACTGTTTAAACAAATTAAAATTTGCAATATCGATATGTAATGTCAATATTCTTGTGGGAATGTTTAGGGATTGGTTTATACAAAAACATAAAACGCGTTTGATTAATAATTATACGATGTGTATGCAATAAGATGTAAAATTTGTATGAAGAAGAAAAGAAAAGAAAAAAAAGAAAAACTAGAATAATTATAATTTCATAAATACAAATGTTCGCCTTTTTGCTAGGACTTCCGATTTTAATTCTTTTCGAAAAATGATATATGGGTACTGACGTTGATTAATTATTATCGTTCCTGATGTAACAATCACTGTACAGTTGTTTTTATAATTCGATTTATAAAAATGCATAAAATCAATTATTCCATATTTAATAGCACGAACAGGGTAGTTCATTACTTGATTTAGGTGAGACGCCCAAGAAAGAATATATCTGTAGACGTAAATGTAAAGGTCAGTAGATCAATACTTACTTTGTTCTAAGATATTCAGAAACTGTTAAGAAATTTTATTACAAGCGATATTTATTAATTTAAGCCTAAACTCTTCTCTTTAAATTATACAAACTATTTGATTAATATGTAATTTCTTTTGATTCAAAGTTCATCGTCAGCTGATACGAAGGTTGAAAATGTCAATATGTTACATGAATTTTTTATTGAGATTGGACTATTAAATGGCCGAGAAAAAGATTTACGCATATTTTATCTTAATAACTATTAATCCCTTTATCTTAACGCACATTATTATCTGTGTTGCTCATAGGAATTGTGAGCATAAATAGAATAAATGTTGATATCAAAGATTAAATTGATTTTTAATGATAAAAATAATCAATAATCTAAGGCCAATATTTTTACGAGCTAGAACCGATTTATTACCAACTTTCTATAAATTATAAAATTGTCACAATAACTATAGCCTAGAGAGACGCAACTAACTAAAAATTAGATTATAAATAATGACGAATAAATAAATAAATAAATTTTCAACGAATAAAAATAATAATATAAATGACGTATAAATTGTCAACGAATAAAATTACAAAGTATAAATAAAGACGGACGTTTCGACTATACTTACATTAGTTATCCTCAGCGATAATATGATTTTTAATATTTCTTTGTTTAGATCTAAAAAGTTTCGATTCAGCTTGAGTGAGATGATAAAGTTCAACAAGTCGATTATAAAACGGCTTATGACGGGAACGAGTTAAAAGGAGAGTCATTGTAAGTGCTTCGTCATTTGTTGAGTGTAAGCGAGTGCTTAGTGAGAAAATATTAGTTTGCAACAAAATAACCCAATAACTCTAT